TTTACTTACCTTTATCATCTGCTACAAAAGTTGTAAAGTGCATCTGAATTATCTCAACTATTTTTAATTAAAATTTTAAATTAACTTTTTCATAATTAAAATGTCATTTTTATGTTTGAGTAAATATTATCATTATTAGCAACACTGTATGGGCAGATTTTGGGGTTTTAGACACTTTTTTTACAACAAAATACATGTTCAGTAAATTGTTAGCGGTGATTACAAAAGAAATTTTAAAAATTTGGTAGTGACTAAATATATAAATACTTTTGGTAGTTACAATAAATTATTAAATTTTAAGATACAATGTGAATTAAGGAAGATTACCTTACTAAGTCGACTTTTCGACGATTTGTCGGAAACTCAAAAGAAGTAACAGAAATTAGTCGACTTTAAAAAGATGAATAGACTTTTTAAAGTTGACAGATATCGAATCTCGACCAAGGACCGGCAAAGCCAACTCTCAACAGCTTTCAAGGCCCGAATTTAACTTAAAAACCTTAGATCATACGCGTAGGGAAAAGTCGGGTAGCCCCGGACGGCGGGTAACTCCGGACACTTTTTGAAATTGCTACTGAATTGAACTGAGAGGCGAGTTTCTATTTCAAATTTGGCACCGAAGCCTTTTTCAGAATTTCAACAATTAATCGAAATTGATAACAACACTAACTTATTTTCTTGCGAGTTACGGAATAGTACAAATATCTAGAACTAAATATGTCTTCAAGTATTTAGGCATTTCCTTAGATTAGACAGTCTCACACCATATTGGATAATCGGCTAAATTTGGAAAAACGCAAAAACGCTAAAAGCATTTTTAGCGTTTTTGCGGCTTACACTTAACGCTGGAGAAATAAATTAAAATAAGTATATAGATGACTGACTGCATAAATTTTTTTTTTAATTTTAGAACGAAATTGAGGCAACTTTTATTACCTGCTTTCAGAAAAATTTGAAATTTAGTTTCACGGTTTACAGAGCAGAAATAATCAGGTAAGTTTTATAAGTACAATACTTATATTTGCAATAAAAGAATTTTTTCATATATAAAAAGAATTAAGTAACATTTATCCAATAATATAAAAAACATAACCTCATCAACAGTGGCGGATTGAGGTTTAGTGTCGCGGGTGGGCCAAGTCAATGAATAGGGGGCAACCGGGGGTTATGTGTGGTATTTTAAACCCCAGAAATTATTTTCATGACTAAAACATAAGTGTTTTTATGTGACTTTTATTACATATACTACATACATATAAGACACTAAATAACCTAGTTTCTAGTTTCTTTTGTTTATTTTAGTTAACAGTTATCTTTTATAAAATAAAAAACATTTAATATTACTGAAATAGTTCGGTCATTTAAAAATGTATTTAACAAGACATATTGCAAAAATTAACATTTAGAAAAAAAATTCACGTTTCATTTTGGCATGATGTTAGTTTAATTGAATTTGAAGAAAGACAAGTTTTTTTTAAATTCAGTTTCTACATCTAGTTCGATACATTTTTCACTAATAAATGATTTGACTGCTAAATGTAGAACTTTAAAAACTTCATCGTTTCTCTTATCTACAAAATTATTTTTTGTAACACCAATCAACTGTTTCGCTAATAAACATCTATATCTTCTCGTTGCAAATAGTTAGATAGCACAAAAAGATTAATAAACAACTTTGGGAAAATAACATTAGAAAAACAAATGAACGCTGTTTTTTTTAATAAAACTGATAATCCAACAGCTTCGGCTCTAACATTACCTGAATATTCTTTAGATTCTCCTAGATTTATATCTTCTAGAGTGGCTAGATTAGCAGAAAAAAATTCAATATTAGCATCAACTTCATGCTTTCTACTTGCTCACCTTGAGTCAGAAACTTGTTTCTGAGTGTCTACTGTTGATTATTATGACTTTTCTGATGCTATTGGAGAATATGAAGTAGTGGTAAACTAGACCATTAGTACAACAATGAACATAGATGGCATTTGGCAAAGCGCTTTTATTCGAGTTTGAAGACCACTTTTAATTCCAAACATTACATAAACACCATCATATGCTTGTCCTCTGCAGAGCTTAATATCAATGTTTCTCTTTTCAGAGTTTAATATCAATGTTTCGAAAGGAAATATTTTAAAACCTCTGTTTTAAAATAATTCCTTTCTCTCTCTCTCTTTCCATTTGTACTTATTTTTATTCTTTTCATTTTGTTTTTCATTGGTAATTTTAATTTATAATTTTTTTTTTGTGTTTTAGGGGGCGTTGTTTGATTGTTCTAGGGGGTGTAGGGAGCAGCTTGCCCCCCCCCCCCACGCCCTATAATAAATCCGCCAGTGCTCATCAAGTTCATTAAGTAGCAATAATAAAGTTTATTACGCCAATATTCCATCTCTAGATTGCACACACATTTTGGTCCATTTCTTATTTTTGATAGTTTCTAACCTTTTGAAACTACTTTCTAACCTCAGAATCTAACGGTTAGAATCTAAGGCGATCCGTATAAATTATTTTTTCAGTCAAATTATTAAAAAAAAATGCTGCTAAAAAGAAATGTAAACAAAATGATAATCTATGTAAATAAAGAATAATATAATAAAATTTTTTATAATAACTTGTTATTATTTTACATAATTTTAAAACTGTGAATAAAGACCCACTTTTTAAAACGTTTTTTTTCTATAAAATTTAGTAGAAAAACGTTCTAAAATTTAGAACGTTTTTCTACTAAATTATATAGAAAAAAAACGTTTTAAAAAGTAGACTAAATTTTAGTCTAATTAGTGGATTTTTGATAACGGTTTCAAAAATAAGTAAAATATATAACATTTTATATAATAGCAAATGTTTATTATGTTAAAATATCGACTATATTCCTAATTTATTTTGTGTATTCCACAAGAATATACCTCGTATAGTCTATATTCTTAGTCTATATTCTATAGTCTATACTCTTGTGTCTATTCTTGTGGAATACACAAAATAATTTATATTATATAAATCTATATTATAGACTGTAATCTTTGTTAAGACGTCTATCTCTATTTTGATTATTCAAATTACAATAATTTTGCTTCTAATTAAGTTAGAAACATAAATTTGGTATTAATGTGCAGCATTTGATGGCCTCTTTTATCTAAACATGATCTGAAGCCAAAATATTTAGTTTAAATTTTTTATGCAACTGCCTACCTTTGATCTATACATAAATCGTAAATTCAACTTATAATATAAGTGTAGACTTTTCTGTAAAATGTAGACTTTTCAGTAAAATGGAAGAATCAGCTGATGCATCAAATATAATATTTTCAAAAAGCGTGAAAATATTATATTCGATGCATCAGCTGATTCTTCCATTTTACTGAAAGTCTACATTTTCTCAATACAAATAGTTGTTTATTATCAACAGATACATTTATAAGTTTTGTAAATGTATAGTTGTGCTTTTATTAAACTACCCATATAATTTTTCAATGTGTACACTTTTATTATCTTCTTTATTATTATTTTAGCACAGTTATTCACAGGATGTTTATGGATAAAACAGTTTTCACATTGCTTTACCTACTATCCTGTATAAATATTCATTAACAAATAAAACAAACTAAATGTCATTTAGTTTGTGTAGTTTAAATATATGACCAGAAACTGTTGCCACACTTTCCATGCTCTCTTGATTTAACACAAACTGATTACTTCATTTAAAATTTAAATGAGGTAATCAGTTTGTGTTAAATCAAGAGAGCATGGAAAGTGTGGCAACAGTTTCTGGTCATATATTTAAATTTCCTTGGCATATTGGATAGTATAATTTAATGAGATGATAATGAAGGTCAATGAAGCCATTATCAATAAATGGAGATTAGACTAATTTTGACCCATTTATTGAACAATCCTGCACACAAATCATTAGTGTGCAGGATTGATCATTAACTGGGGCTAAGTAATTCCTTGCGTTGCTTTGTATTAATCTGTAGGCCACATTTTTTGTCACCAGTAATAAATTGGTAATGAAATAAATGCTTCTGTCAATGAATTAAGCGATGCCAAACAAGCAAACCAGTGGCCTTTTGATTTTTGCTGTTGTTAGTTACTACATCTCATGTTCCACACTTCTAAACCTTTTCTATTGAGTCAAGATGCTTATCTATGAATATGTTTGCATATTCCTATTGCTAAGTGTTTGTCATTTGACACAAATTTTTGTGCCAGAGTTTTTTTGTTCAATCATTTTCTTTGAACTTAACAAAGTAATTGCATTTTGAGGCTAAAGTTTTTATTTTTGATATGGCATCTTATACAAGTGCAAGTAATTTTTATAGCTCAGCAGTTTCTCCATAAACTGCAAAAATGTTTTATGCAGCTTTTTCTGCCTTTGATTAATTGATAAAAAACTTATTTTTTCTCAACTTGCATTAGGTTTTAATGATCTGAAATATTCAAAAACGTAACCCTAGCAAGTAAAAAACATGATTTTCAAAATGAAAATAAAAACACACAGTTATGGTGATTATTTAAATAACTGGCCCCCTGGAAATCTTAAAATATGTGTTGTTTCAAAAAAAAAAAAAAAAAAAAGCTCAAACTTCCTATTAAAAAGTCAGTGCTTTTTTTGTAAAAAAAAAACTGCTGGAACTAATCTGGATTATGTTTCATGTCAAAAAAAACAAAAAAAACAAACTGAAATTTACTTATTAATTTTATGAAAAAAATTTAATAAATATCAAATTGTAAGGTTTTAAAATAAATTCCATTTTAATTTTTTTCATTTACTGAAAAAAGGTGTTCAAACACCATTCCAGAGCATTTCGCTAGAAAAAATGTTGATTGTACTTAGTGTATAAAATATAATTTTAAACTCAAACTTCCTTATTATATAGTGTGATATTATTGTTTCAAAACATTTTTGTTTACTTTAGAGAATAATAGACTTTAAAAAACAATTTAGAGAGTATTTTTGTTGTTTTTAAAATAAAAAAATGAAATATCTAAAATGATACCAATACCTATTTTTTTTTTTTAGATTTTTAATGTATTAAAAGCTTTATAATACATGGGTAATGGAACTTGAAAATGGGAATGAACAAGATCTTTTTGTTGGGGAGTACCAAGAATTATGTGTTGTGCATAATGACCCATTATTACATCTGTATACAACAGCAGTTAAGTTTGACTCACATGAACAGTTGTTTTGGGTTGGCAGTCAATCGGTAGTTTTTTGATACATATATTTAATAGTACTTATTATGTTTAAATAAATCTTTTTTTAACAATTTGATGTATCCTTCTAATAGCTAATAATATGCCTTCTAATATGATATATCCTTCTAATAGCAAATTTAAATACAATAAAATTTACATCAAACAAAAGCGTTTACATCAAACTAATGAGTTTTAACTTATAAAAAAACTCTTTACTGCATGTCTATATATATTAATATATACATAGGCATTTCAAAAAATATGCATAAAAACTTGGATATGTTTTTATTTATTAGAAAAACAATTATTTTTATGATAACTCAACTGGCATTTTCAATTTGCTCTCATTTAAATATTTTGTAAGCAAAGGATGGTATAAATTAGTGATGTTATTAAAAAATATACTATACTTTCTTTTTTTGAAATTAAATTTGATATATTAGTAAAGATGTTGAGAAAGTAACAGGATTGCATTATTTAAAATAGAGCCACAGTTTAGATGCAGTTTATGTATGGTTACACACAGAAGTTGCAAATTTATCAACTTTATGTAGTTATTTTTATAAAAATAAATTGCTTGTTAGTATTTCAAATGAAAGATTATACTCTTACAACTCATAATAAATATATTTTCTATAAGAAATATCACCTATCAAATATTTCTAAACGCTATACTTTTATGGAGAATAGCATTCAAAACCATTATATATTTTCTCAACTTAAGATATTTTTATTATAATTGTTTTTAAAAATAATCATAATAGTATGCATATAACTTCATAAATAGTCATAGTAGCATGCGCCCTGCTTCTAAGTATAAAAACAAAGTAAAAGAAAAAATCACGCACAGAGATGCAAATGCCCATATATAAATATTTATATTTGTTTATAAATAAAGAGAAGGGGTTAAAGTGGCGTGGTTTTTAGAGTTTTTTAAAAATCCTGCCACTGTTGAGTTTAATGACTTTATTTTAATTATATGTTGATTTATATTGGCACCATATTTATTTGCTGTATTTAATTAATATATTTTAGTGTTTACCACAAGCTATGTTTTATGTATACTCCTAATAATAGTTAGAAACATTTTTGTCTTGAATTATCTCCTCCATTATAGCATATAGTAGATAATATTAACAGTATATGTACAAACAATCAATAGAAAACTTATTTTTGATGGAGATAGTAGGAAATTTGAAATATGGGAAACAAAATTCTTAGGATATATGAATTTAAAATATTTAAAAGATACTTTAATTGTATATGGTAAAATTGGCAAAGACAAAAATTGATGTTTGCTAAATGTAAGATCCATAGCTATAAATTATGAGTTATACCATTAGGGCATTTCTGTTCCAGTGAGTAAAAAAAAAATGAAATTTAAAATCGATTTATTTTTTAATTTAGAAGATGGAATTAAAAAGAAGATAGGTGATATTTTGATTATCCAAAAGAAAAGTTATGGAAGACAAGTTTATCTTCACCTTTTAATTATTCAAACTTCGCAATAAATAAATAAAAAATTTTATGAGAAAAATGAGTGTATTACAAATAAGTGTATTACCACAAACCAAAACCTTCAATGATAAATTTATAGGTTTAATTGATAGATAATTATGATGAAAAAGTAAAATTTGTTTATTGATCATTGATCAATATATAATAATAGCCACACTAAAATTTAAAATCAATCACCATGGTTACTTGCACTACATGGTTAAATATGAGAAATACATTTTCTGTATGTCTAATACCTGAACAAATGTAACTTATAAAACTAACATTGTCTAATAATATATCTTTATATTTATTTTTGTTAAACTAATTTATGTAATGCGTAATATAGGCTTTAATATTGTATGTAGTAGTGTATGTATATTTTTTTTTAATTTAAGTTATTTTTTATTTTTTATATTTTTCTGCGAAAATTTTTTCTCACTCTATCCTTCTGAACTTATGTGATTAAAATTTTTGTTTTCTCTTATATTTTTTTCTCATTTATCTTATCTCATCCGTTCATTCTCTCTTTTTTTTTTTTTTTTAATATATATATATATATGTATACATATATATGTATATATATACATTTATATGTATATATATATATATATATATACATATATATGTATTTATCTCTTTCATCTTTATAAAACATCAGGTCGGCTAAAACTGTTTGATACAAAGGTCTAACCGTAAAACACAGAAATAAGGTAAAGCACAGGTCGGCATTGCCGAATGCAAACCCTAATTCCGAGGGTTGTATATATATGTATATATATATTTTTTTGTTAATTCACCTCCTCAAGGCTAAGAAAGCCACTACAGACAAGAAGGCTACTTATTTGTGGTTATAACCCTCTCTTAACTCTATAACTTGGAAACACAGATCTTAACAAACGAGGCAGCTGTGCGGTGAAACGAGTTGAGCGCGGTACTACAAGTGGCGTGTTGGGGATCGAACTCGAAACTTCTCGCTTATGAAACAAGCGCTCTACCACTACACCGCTACCGCATATATATACATATGTATGTATACATATATATGTAAATATATATATATATATATATATATATATATATATATGTATATATATATATATATACATATATATATATATATATATATTTATGTATACATATATATATATATATTTATATATATATATATACATATATATATATATATATAAATATATATATATATATATATATATATATATATATATATATATATATATATATATATATATATATATATATATATATATATATATATATATATATATATATATATATATATATATATATATATATATATATATATATATATATATATATATTAGGGTGGGTCATAAAATTTTTTTAGAGTTGCTAACTTGGCTATGGTCTAGAAAGTTGCTTTTTTATGTACTAGTTTAGGAAAGTATTTACTTTTATGGATTGAACAATTTCTTCCACTCGCAACTATAATTACACTAATTAGCAGGCCCTATTATTATTTAAAAAAAATGTTTTCAAATTTATGTGATGTAGGTACTCAAATAAAGTGAAATTTTATAAAAATTTCAAAAATTATAATTTTTTCATATAAAAATTATTATTTTAGATTTTATTGCATAATAACTATAGTTTTTTGACTAAAAGTGAAAAATGTGCATTTTTACATGTTTTTTAATAACAATTTTTTTAGACAATATGATTTTTACAAAATGATTATTATTTTCGAATTTTTTATAAAATTTCACTTCTTTTGAGTACCAGGTTGACCTACTCTTGAAAAACTTTTTTTCTCCAAAATATTAGGGTACCAGTAATTTTCCCAATAAAGTTGCGCCCTTTAAATCTATCACAATCATTCTCATATTTGATAGTATCAATATTAATAACTATTAGCAATATTTAGAGCCTGTTATAAGAAAAAAAAAATTTATGACCCACCCTAATATATATATATATATATATATATATATATATATATATATATATATATATATATATATATATATATATATATATATATATATATATATATATATATATATATATATATATATATATATATATACACATATATATGTATATAATACATACATATATGTATGTATGCATATATGCAGGGGTGTGGAGCCATAAACAAAAAGTACCAACTCTGACTCCAATTGTTAAAATTTTCAGAGTATGACTCCAGCTCCAAAGAAAAATTTAAAAAATTCTTCGTATTTTTTAAAAGATATTATGCTTTAATTTAAATTAATTTTTTTTGCTAAATATATGAAAAATTAAAATGTTAAATATTTTGTACACGCACATGCAAAACCAAGAAGTTTTACTATTAGAGTCAGAATCAGGATTTTGTTTAGCAACTTCGACTCTGTTACAAATGTTGAGACTGTGACTCCACAACTTTAACTTTGACTCCACAGCCCTGCATATATGCATGTATAGATATATGTATTAAACATTAGTTAAAACAGTCCAAAATCATGTTTCTAGGGTCGCATGAGTTCTTATTATGGATCCCAAATGGTGAAGTATACTTCATTTAAAGCTCATCATACTGAACTATGTGATATATTGACAGATGCTCATGGAGTATTATCATTAACAACCAATGAAGTTCGGTATACAACCAAACAAGGTTTAAAAATTTTTTCTAGCAGGTGAGTAATAAATGTTTAATAAATGTTTTTTTATTCAATTCTTTTTGCCAGCAATTTATTATATATATATTTTTTGTAATTATTTTTTATTTAATTTAAAATAACTTAAAATAAAGAAAAAAACAACAAAAAAAACAAAAAATTTATTTTTTGTTTTTACTAAAACAAAAAATAAGTTCTTTATAACTAATTTTTTTTCCACTGTTTTCAGTGAGTTATCATAGTAAAGGTGCTTTTTTTTTAAAATTGTTGCCAGTCTCTGTTGTTACCAGCCTCTATTATTACCAACCTCAACACTATAAATTAAAACACAAAAAGACCTTGAAGAAAAAGATTACTGTGCAGAGAAACATGTTGAGTATTGTACTTCCAGGGGTGTTTGGGCAATAAACTTCTGGTTTACAAAGTTTGGTTTAAATGCTACAAAGTCTAAAATATAACTAACATTTATAATTATCTTTTTTAAAGAAAATGAAAAAGAAACTAAAATATTAAATATATTTCACTAAATTTTAACTAAATTTTTATAGTTTTAACTTTAATATTTGTATAGTAATATTTTTTATATTCAAATATGTCTTTCAAATTGCTATAAAAAAATAAATACCATCAATAATGAAATAATAAATATCGTCAAGCATGAAATAATAAATACCATTAACGATAAAATAATAAATACCATCTAAAAGATGGCCCTATTAAACTTTTTTTAATGGTTTTTAATTCAATTTGTTTTTTCAATTTGTTTATGTAAAAAAATATATCAATGATGGCCACATCTGTTTTTAATCTGAAAAAAGTCTTAGAGACAGTATGGAAAATGAGAATATGCCTATATAGTTTAAATTTTATATATAAATCAATATAGATATTGTTCTGTTTATATTGACATCAAACCTTTTTAATTGAATGTGCTATAATTGAGTTGATGTTATTCAGTAAAAATAGATCACTAAATTCTTTGATATTGTTATTGTAATGATCACTAATTTGGTGTTATTGTTGCAATGATCACTAATTTGATATTATTATTGCAATGATCACTAATTTGATATTGTTATTGCTTATTAATTGCTGAAAAAAGACTTAAGGGACATCATGTTAAGTCACTTTTAAAGAAAGTTTGAAAAAATTTTATTTCTAGTATTGCATTTGATGTTATCAAGGTTAATAAAGTTAAATTGTTTGAATAAGTTCATCAGTTTCTTGTAATAAATTATATTATTGCATAGTTTTTAGTGCTTTGCATAAAAGTTGAATAATAAATAAAATATTCAAATTTTTATTAATCAACTTTAATTTACTTTTCAACAGCTTCGACCGTATTTAGGACCAATTTATCTAATATATTTTTATTTCAATTGGGTACTACATAAATTTTTTATTAAGTTTAATATTTTAATCTTTATTCAACTGAAATATTTTTATTAGCTTTCTCGTCATCACTATTATTATTGTTATTATTATTATAAATTTATATTAACTATTGTTATTATTACATTTATGTTCTTTTTGTAATTATAATAGTTTAATATTTTAATCTTTTATATAAATTTAATATCAGATAAATAATTATCACTATTTGTATGTGTACTTAATATAAAAATTATTGGTGAAAATAGTATACTGTTATCATTCTTCAACCATCTGGCCTTTTTTTATTTACAAATTTTATTTTTCCATTAAAAGAATATAAAGACATTAGTTGCAGAGTAATTTATCTAAGCATTTCAAAATGATTTAAGTTTCGATATTCAGATTTGAGTTTTAGAAATTATTATTGCATGCCCAGTTTTATAAAAATTTATTTTATAAAATAAAAAATTTAAAAAAAGTTATTTAATTAAAATATAAAATAAAATAAAACTAATATTAGTAGTAAAATATAATAGTTAAAATAATAATAATAATTGCTGTTGAGATTTAATGCCATAAATAATAGTTGCATAATATTTGCTAAAGATTAGTTGGCAACTCAGAAAAAGAAATAAGTAATAAGTGTATAATGTTTGCTAAAGTTTGCTTGGCAATTCAGAAAAATAAATAAATAATAGTTGCATAATGTTTGCTAAAGTTTGCTTGGCAACTCAGAAAAAGTATTTGATGGCGAATTTTAATCTCTTGAAATTATTTATTGTTGATGCTTTAATGGTTGATTCTGGTAGACTGGCATGGAATTCTATGCTTTTAATATTCGATTTGTGAAAAAATGTTCTTTAATTGACCATTTATTTTGTTGAACACATTATGTTAAATTCCTTGTATAGGGGCTGGTCCAGATAACAATAATGATGCTAAAAACTTAGGTGGATCGTACCATGAGATGTCTTTAATAAGATTGAAAAATTTATAAAATTGAATTAAATTACCAATATGGTTGAAAAATTTATAAAATTGAATTATATCACCAATATGATGGAAAAATTTATAAAATTGAATTAAATTACCAATATGATGGAAAAATTTATAAAATTGAATTAAATTACCAATATGATGGAAAATTTTATAAAATTGAATTAAATTACCAATATGATGGAAAAATTTATAAAATTAAATTAAATCACTGCATTTTCTTCATTCAGTCAGTGTTTTTAGATTCTATTTCATCTTTCTTTGTATGATAGATGTCTAATATCTGTTTGATTCATCTTTCTCTGTATGATAGATTTCTAGTTTCTGTTTGATTCATCTTTCTTTGTACGATCGATGTCTAATTTCTGGTATCAACTTTTTTAGATTCTGTTTGATTCATCTTTCTTTGTATGATAGATGTCTAATTTTTGGTATCAACTTAGTCACACGTATCAACTTAGTCGCAAAATAACTTTACGCAAAGATGACTTGAATTTATTTTTTAAGTCATCTTACAGTTTTTAACTTCCAGTCCAGATATAATTTTTCAGAGTTTTAATGAGGTTTTTTTTTCTTAGAAATGAAAACATGCATTCTATGCATGCACTTCTGCGTGGAACAGGTGTTGCGGAAAGTTATGTTTTAATGGCTGGCGAAAATGAATATTTTTTTGAACTCGACTTAACAACAGGATATGTTTATGAAAAAAGCAAGGTATTTTTTATGTAAAAGTTATGATAAAATTTTTCTTTTTTTTTTGGTACAAAATCTCATATTTGTCTAAATCTTGATGAGTAAATTTGTTTTTCTAAAAAAAAAATTAATCTGTGTTAAATTTAGCTTCAGTTGAAACTTTATAAATCTTATTAAAGGTTTTTTTCCTCCTTTATTTTTTAATAAATTTTTAAAATGTTATTACGTAGTGTATTATATTATGTATACCTCCCCATGGCTGAGGGACGGCTACAGTTTGGGAGATTACTTTCTTTTTTTAAATTTTGTTTCAACCCTCTTTTCAACCCTCTTTTCAACCCTCTCCACTCTACTACTCTCTACTCTACCACTGCACCACTACCACATAATATTATTATTTATTATATTATTACATTATATTACACTTTAATAACAAAAACAATCTTCTAATATTTCCTAAAAAATATTAGCAGATTGTGTTATCAGTGAGTAAGTTATGTATTTAATGTAATTTCTGTTTTCAAATTTTGCATTAAAGTTTGAAGTAAATATACTCACGTGCATAGAAAGGCCTCACATAAGACCTTTCTTTTACAGAGAAGGCCATAATGACAAAAAGATAAACCTTAAAAGTTGCTCAATTTTGAGCACTTGCTTTAATTATTGTTTTATCTACTTGTAAAAAGTTTATTCAAAAAAAAAAAAAAAACACTCTATAGCCAAAATATGACTTTTTAGTTTTCCTAGAAAATATGCTTTCACATATTCCAGGTGATGGTTCCTAATCACATCAAAAAGCCTACTCATTGTTATAAAACCAAAACATTTCTTAGTAGTTTCATTTGTCCTAGATAAACAATGGTTATGCTTTTAAAGTAATAAATTAAATCAATTATTTTAGATTAAATAAATTTTTAAAATAGCATTTTCAACTTTTTATCAATAGAAAAAAATGCTTAAGATGTGTGCATATTGTAGAAACAGCATTATGAGAAGTGTCCAACCTGTGCAAGTGAACATGTAAGAACATGGTGATGTGCAAGTGAACATGTAAGAACATGGTGATGTGCAAGTGAACATGTAAGAACATGGTGATGTGCAAGTGAACATGTAAGAACATGGTGATGTGCAAGTGAACATGTAAGAACATGGTGATGTGCAAGTGAACATGTAAGAACATGGTGATGTGCAAGTGAACATGTAAGAACATGGTGATGTGCAAGTGAACATGTAAGAACATGGTGATGTGCAAGTGAACATGTAAGAACATGGTGATGTGCAAGTGAACATGTAAGAACATGATGATGTGCAAGTGAACATGGTGATGTGCAAGTGAACATGTAAGAACATGGTGATGTGCAAGTGAACATGTAAGAACATGATGATGTGCAAGTGAACATGGTGATGTGCAAGTGAACACGTAAGAACATGGTGATGAGGAGGAGGAGTAAAAACATAATAAAAACTGTATTAATTAGAAAAATAATTAATACATAAAACAATTAAATTAAACAAATAAAGCATTTTTTTTACAGCTACAAATTCGCCAGAGTAAATCTTCAAATATCCATGGAATATTACTAAGTTGATATAAATATTACTAAGTTTAAAGGTAACAATGAAAGTTCCAAATATTTTAAAAATAAAATACTTGTTTAAACAAATTATGGAATAAATATGTTTAGCTGATACTTCTTCATCTTTAGCTAAACATTATAATAAAATTAAACAAATAATTCAGTAGAAATGGATAAAGCAAAGTTTTTGCTTTGTTTTCAACTTTTTACAAGAATGGTTTAAAAAGAATGTGACAAGACAAATCAGTAATTCAGGCAACAACTGTAGAAATATTGAAATTGTCTTTTTGTGAATCCTTTATGGACGCTAGGGTGTCTAAAATTTTTTTTTTGAAAATCAAAATGTGGAAAAGTTCAATCCTTATCAGCCTTCCTAATCTACTCTAATGTAAAAAAGATGGTTTTAGGCAATATCTATATAATATAATTTTTCCCGAATATTATATTTTAATGTTTTTAATATAGATTTTTCTAAATTTAAAACACTCACAAACACTGGTTTCGATTTAAAATATATCTAATAGAATAAAGAAGATACAGATTTTGTGTAACAGTTTTTTTTCAGATAACTCTAAATTGTGTTAAAAAGTAACAAAAATGTAATGACAGTTGTGATACCTATAAGATGTTCTGTTAGTTTTTTGTAAATTTCTTGGATATTTGCTGTCTGTTTTTATGGACAACCTAGAAAATTAAAAATACTGAAGAGTATTCTGAAGTCTATCTTAGTTATGTGTCCTTCCAATAGTCTTTGATCAGCTTAATGTGACATTCTGCCCAATCATTTACCACTGCAAGCTGAATTGCACAAGCAGAGAACTTGACAAATGACTTATCTTTTTTCTCCTAGAAATCACTTCCTTAGTGATTTCTAGGAGAAAAAAGAGAAGATAAGTCATTTGTGAAGATCTCTTTTTTCTCACAAGAAGATCTCTTTTTTCTCCTAGAAATCATTAAGGAAGTGATTTCTAGGAGAAAAAAGAGAAGATAAGTCATTTGTCAAGTTCTCTACTTGTGCAATTCAGCTTGCAGTGGTAAATGATTGGGCAGAATGTCACATTAAGCTGATCAAAGACTATTGGAAGGACACATAACTAAGATAGACTTCAGAATACTTTTCAGGTAATTACTAAACATTATTATAAAGACCTTCAGCATGTAAATTGTTAGAGCGAGGCGGAATTTTTGAAAAACTAATGACCCCCTGCTCAGTGACAAAATCATCAAGAGATGACATAGGAAAAACGACTGGCTGGATTCCAGGTTTCTCAAGTGCAATGTATTCTTTTTCTGGAACGGTAAAATACATCAATTTGTCAAGGATGTTGTTCTTGAGGTTGGCATCTAGATCCCTATTAGCAAAAGACAAAACCACAAGCTGGGTTGCTAGATACCAAGTATGCCATAGAAGGTTTTTGTTGAGAACCTTCTCAATCTTTGCATAGGCTTTGTAATCATCTGACATTTGGAGCTAGTAAATAATCTTGAAAGCTCTTAGATCATTTAAAGTTGCTTGAGTTGCCATTGGACTCTTCATAAAGAATAGACCATGGAAAAACACAATGTAATTTGCAGCAGTGTTTATGTTCTTAAAGGGACTACCAAGTCCCGTGACATGTTGTGTTCATATTAAAGAGAATGTTAAAAAAAAAGGTCTGAGCAAATTTTTTTTGATTAAAACTAATTAATAAATGTATACCAAGAAAAACAAATCTTGTTGTTTTAGTCGAAGCTCGTCTTCTCTGTTTTCTCTGGTATTTTGAGTATGTAAAATAAACACGATTTTCCAGGCGCATTATACAGACTTGATAATTTATTCAAGCGCGTTTAATTCATAGAAGTTTTAGGGTATGACGTCATTGGAAACATTCTAGAAATTCTTTAAAAATTTTACTATTAAATTTTACTAAAATAGCTAACTATAGTTACTTATTTTATTTTTTAAAATCTTCAAATTAAAAAATATTTTTTTTATAATCCAATAAAATAACACGCTGTGTCTCATCGGTTACGCCCCAAACGGGGGAGGAGGGCAATAACTTTAGGTGTTCTTTTTTTAAAATTTAAGATTAGTTTTGAGAATAATTTTACCAAATTTAATTTTTTTTTCTCGTTATGCCTAACATTCAAAGTTTTTTTAAATAATGAGACCCTTATGACATGTTTTATAGGGAGGGAATCTCCGACCCTCTTTCCATTGCACTGGTAGCTATAATTTAGATTTTATCAATGTTTAATGTTTTTATATGATATATAATACTTATAAAGATACTGATAAAAAGTTGTTTTGTATTGTTTTGTAAATTTTTATTAGAAACTTTTATTTCTAAACTTTTCTTATGGTATTATCTATGGCCGTCACCACCGATGTTGACGGCCTCCCAAATTTTTTTTAGGATAACTATATTTTTCTTGAAATGTAAGTTTTTTTTTTTAAATCGGGGAGTGAGCCTCTTTGAAACTTTCCCCACTTTGAAGGCCGTGTTGATGGTCATGTTATCACTTTAACTGAAGTTTAACTTATTTAGCCGCGTGTCTGAGTATATTTAATTAAATTTGTTTCGCAAAACTTGTAGGATATTTTTGATTTTAAAAATTGGAATGAATATTTTTGAAGATTGCAAGAAAATGTTATTATTAAGTTGATGATTCGACAAATAGAATAAATACAAGTCAATCTTTTATTTGTTATTCACGATGTTGTTTTTTAATTTGAATGCAAATTCGACATAAATTCAAAAATACTCAATATAATGCATTTTTTAAATGTGCACTCTGACCGCATTCACTATGTGGACCATCTGTCTTGAATTTTTACCAAGTTGTATTTATTATTACGTTGTATAAAAAACAGCTGTGTGTAATTTACGTTAAATGTAAATTTTATAAAGTTACAAAAATATTTATTTTATTAATTGTTCGTTTTTTACAAATCTAACCAACAATTAATTAAACCAAGCACTAAGAAAAGGTATAAAAATTAAGAATATACTAATAAAATATATAATTTGTAATTAACTTTCAAAATTTTGACAATTTAAAAAATATATATTATAAAACATTTATTTTTGTAAACAAATGATAATAGTTTAAAAGTTTTACGGCTTTACAGATGTGGCTCCAAGAATGAGTCATAATATTAAAGTAATAGTTCATTTGATAATATATTCTTAAAAAAATTTATGCTAAATATCTCAAAACGCAACAAATCGTAAATAATACAATTCCTAAAACATTTCAACAGAATACTCTAGAACTTTATTTCGCTTAGTCAGCGTGTTTTTTGAACCAATAGAATTAGTTTGTTCGCAAATTTGGCGGGTTTTTAGTGTTCGTGAATATTCTTTTTATTCTTCCGCAAGATGTTTTAAGTTAATTATGTTTCCATGCATGTCTGTAAAATAAAAATTAATATATATTAATTTTTTAATTTTTAAGTTCCTG